CTCCCGCATTTCCCTCCACATCCAGCCTCTGCCTATTGAAACCTTGTCCATTCTCTGAGGCCTGCTTGAACACTGAGGGAAGTCTCCCTTGATTTTTACCCCCTCCCCCCACAAAACAAAAAAAACAAAAACAAAAACAAAACCCTTCCCAGGTCCTCAGCACTTCCTTTTGGCATTAGTATGATGTGAGTCCTAGGGGTGGGACATATGTTTGACTTCGGATTGTCTCCTAGCAGAACCTGGTAAAGGCCCAGCCCCTAACAGTGCTCAGACAATGTTTGTTGATTAAACATGGGGGAAGAGATTGAAAGGAAACCAGGGCAGTGAAAGGATGCCAGTTCTGGAGTAAGGAGGCCTAGGCATACGCCCAAGCTCCTCTCTTATCATTCATTGTATTAAATCCTTTCTCCTCTCTGGCCTCAGTTTACCTACATATCAACTGAAGCCAGTGATTCCTGCCCTGCTTTCTTCACAGGGTTATTGGGAGGTGCAGAGGAGATGAGAGAAACCCAAGTTCAAATCCCACTTGGGCCATGTACATATTCCTTGCATGATCAGCCTCTGAGTCTCAGTTTCCTCATCTGTGTCCTTGAAAGCAAGTTCCCCACCACAGAAGTATAAATCTCCAGAAGAAGCCACAGTGTGTGCTAGTGAGCACCCCACCACTGGAGGCATCCAGGCAGGGGTGGAACACTTCCTCCTAGGATGCAAGGAGGGGATGTAGTGGGGCAACTTTGGAGCTTCCCTGGTCAACCTCTGCCCTCTGACCACTGCCAGGCCACCTGCCCCAGCCCAGCCTGTGTCCAGACCCCCACCTGGGCTCAGTTCATCTGAGCAGTCCCCGCAGTTGTTGGTCCCATCGCACTTTTGGTCCGAGTAGATCCAGGAACCCGGGTTTCCACAGCGGACCACGAGGAAAGTGGGGAGGCTCTGGGGCACATCTCCTACAGAGGGACAGATGAGGCAAGAGGAAGTCCACACCTGGCCACAGCTGTCTCAGGGTTATCTGGAGGTGGACTGTCCTGGCCACCCTAGCAGTTGCCAAACGTGAGGTCACCATGCACCCATCTTAGGAAGGGCACAGGAGAAGGTTTCCTGGGGAGGAGGTTGGGTCAAGGAAAGAGGGGTGTTCTTTCCCTTTCCAGCAAGATGCCCAGAGAGGTTGCCTCTCCCTTCCTCATTCCCTATTCAGCTCTTCCTCATCCCCACCACACAGCATTGCCTGAACTAACACTCCCTCCAGAAATATCCTCCTCCACACCTATCCACTTCAAGTTCAGGTTCAAGTTTCTTCACCTCCAGGAAGCCTCCACCAACTGGAACATAACAAGAATAAATGTGAAGTCTTGCACTTGGGTCCCAGAACTCAGAACTCAGAGTATATGGGTTCAGATGAGAGGGAATCAGAACACCTTTCTTGAAAATGGGCTCTGTGTTAAGCAGCAGTGTGACAGGGCTACCAAAAGTTAACACGAACTCGGGCCACATCACTAGAGGTATAACTCAGACCTGGGAGGGGAAAAGCCTTTGTTTCTTGGACTAGCCAGAGCTGATCGGAAGTGTCATGAATGGTTTTGGGGCCTGTCCAGGGAGAGGGACATGGGCAGTTGGTATGTGCTCTGTGAAGTGCTGGGAGTGAGGAAGGCCTATCACAAGGGGGATGACTATGGGATTTCAGAGTGTGGCCCGGGGAAGGGGACACTCATGGGGGGCAAGAAAGCAATCTCCAAATCCGTGCAGTCCACCGTCATGGGAGATAGATTAAAATGTGGTTCATGGTGGGGGTGGGGGCAGGAGGTGATGAGAGGGCAGAGCTGGAACAACTCAAGGATGCTACTGGGAGGCAGCTTTAAACTCAGAACAAGGGAGACAATCTCATGGAAAAACCCTTGCAATGATGGGTGCAGCTAACTCCCATCATTTGTAGCAAGCTCCTTATCTCAGGAGTATGCAAGTAGAGGCTGGGTGGCCTCTATTGGCTTTGTTATAGAGGGGTTTGGGCATGAGCTTGGACCTGGACTAGATGACTTTTAAGATCTTTTCTAATCTTGAGGGTCCACGATTCTCCCAAAATCTCCCCCACCCCACCCACTCTAACTCACCAGGCTCTCTCCCTCCTACATGGAAAGTTCCCTGGTTTTTCTCTCCTAAGAACTGATAGGTCTTTCAGGTCTGGGATCAGATCTTCCCATTCATTCATTCACTCATTCCACCATTAATTCAGCAAATCATTCCAAATACCCCTGTGTGTTATGCCCTGTGCCCGTCACTGGGGCCCCAAGATCAAATAGACCAGGCCTGCCCCAGAGGAATTCACAGCCTGATGGCCATGGCAAATGTGCCAGTCAAGAGTGACAACCAAGATGACTAGAGCTGGGACACAGGGAAGTACCGGGGCTGTGGCAGCCCAAAGGAGAGATCTTAACCTCGTTTGGGAGTCAGGGAAAGCTCCCTGGTAACTCTGCCACGAAATTTGAATACAGGTTCTCTGGGCACGGAATGCACAGAGTGAAGGCATTCCCTAGTGTGGGCACGTATGTATGTATGTGTGTGGGTGGGGGCAGGCATTCCTAGATGAGGGCACCATATAAACAAAGGCCTGAGGACATGAAAGTACCTGGTAATTTCAGGGGTGGTTGAGCTTCGATTTGGCCGCATGGATAGCTGGAGTCAGGGGGCAACAACCAGGGGGCCCTGGAAGGCCCTTTTGGGGCAGGGGCAGGACTGAGCAGATACTCACGGCACAAGGCTTCATCCTCATCCTCGCCGTGGGGACAGGTGCGGACACCGTCACAGACTCCGCTGGCTGAGATGCAGTTCCTCCGGTCATGACACAGAAAGCCTGTCCTGTTCGTCAGCGTCACGCAGGCCTGGGCCCCTGAGTGGGCAGGGGAAGGCCCCAGAGGGTCGAGGGCGGTACTCACAAGGCATCACCAGGTCCCTGCCCCTGAGCCCCGCCCTTAGTTGGCCTGAGGGGCTGAGCAGTGGGGAGAACCCTGGGCTGGGTGTTGGGGGCCAAAGTCCCAGTTCTACTGCTTGCCAGCTGAGTGACCTTGGCAGATGACTCAGCCTCTCTGAACCTCAGGTTTCTTGTTTGCAAAATGGGGATCATAGCACATACCCCATAGGACCATTGGGAAATTTTACATAACCCCAGGACATAGAATGTGCAGAGTAAGTCCTGGTTCTCCCCTTTACAGAGAGGTTATTGACGGTCTCATGGGAGGCTCCAGAGGACACGGCTCAGTCAGTGAAGGGATTTTGCTGGTGGAGCTCCTAGTGCCCGAACAGCTTGTCAGAAGCAATATAATGGGGCTGGCTGGGCACTGTTATGCCATAATTCCTGACATCTAGGTATAACTTTAAGGTCTGTAAAGCATTTTCACATTTTTATTCTACCGTTTCCTCAAGCCCCTGTGAAGTATCATCATTAGCCCCATTTTATAGATGAGAAAAGGAAGTTCTCAGAGAGGTGGAATGGGTCCAGTCACACAGCTAATAACCCAGGCCTGCTGACTTGGGTTTTTCCCAAGGCTGGGGCTGCCTTCTCAGAGTCCAGGAATTATGGGCAGACATCTAAAAATGTATGTCCTTCTGAGAGTCTTCCTTTCCGTCCCACTGAGGGGAAACACCCACCCCCAGGGATGCCCCAAACAATTAAAGAGAAATTGGCAGAGCGAGCTGGGAGGTCACCTAGCTCCACCGGCCATGCACATGTATACACATGCACACAGGTTGGAAATGGGAGTGGGTTTGCACTTGTGTGTTTGGGCATATGTGAACCAGGTCTGAGCTCCAGGAACTGCCTTGGCTCATGTGTGTCGGGGGAACTGACTCTCAGAGACACTCATGTTGTCACATACCCACACGTACACACATCAATGCACACGCCTTCAGTGCCTGTGTTCCTGCACAGGCACGTAGACAACTGTAGATTTTACTCCCTCTTCCACCTTGCCCCCAACACATGCCTCGCTACAGAACCATCTGTCAGGAAGGTAGATCGGTGACACCCCACCCCCAGCTCAACTCCCTTCCCTTGGCTCTCTGGATGGTCATCTCCCTTCCCAGTGCAGCCTTTGCGGCCCTGGACACCTGTCCCCACCCACTGCTCTAGTCCATCATGTCCCCTCACCTTCTTGCAGTTTCTC